GTGTCGTGTTAACTGACAAGACATTTAAAGTGTGAGTGGCAAAAATGCCCCAGAAGCTGTGGTGGTGTATATGTAAAGAAAGGGTAAAGGGAATAAATCTATCTTAACCATTTTACCTCATTATGACATGTTGTGTTCTTTGCCCACGTCATTAGCTAGAGCCTCTACATTCCATGCAGAAGGAACCAGGATGAATGTCTCTCCGCTGACTTGCTGTTCTTTGTAATAGTTCTCTACCAATGAAAACATGGATCCCACAGGAGTTATCAGATCAGCCATGCTTTAGCCTTTACCTACCAAATAGTTCATTTCTTCCTACCCTGCCTAGCACAAGTCTAGTCTGTGAAAGAGAAGTAAAAGGAGAACCATAGTTTCCTCTTTGAAAGATGAGAAGATAGGAAGTGCCTGTCCAGGAGCAGTGATGAAATCCAGCCAGCAGGCCCTGTGAGGCTACTTCCACTGGAGACAGTGCGTTTTTGCGGCCTCCAGAGAGCTCTCTGCACCTTGGAAGCCTCCTCGTTACTAATATTCATGACCAAGTCCCACAAAGGAATGCCTTCTTTTTGTTCATTTCAGAAACCCAAGGACTATTTGCAGACCAGTGTTAAGACAGTTCGGAGCAAATTTGCCAGGGTAGTTCTCTTAGAAACACATATTTCCTATGTGTACAACTCCATTTTCTTAAATGCATGACAATAATTATGCCTTTCACCCGCCATTTATCCAGAAAAACAAAAACCACACCTGGGCTTTTAAGTCAGAAGGGTGGTGCCCGTAGTAGATAGGAATATGAGATGACAACAGAACTGTGAGTCCACGATGAAGTCCTTTTATTTGTGGTCATTTGTGTGTTTGGGGGTTTGTTTGTGTTGTTCCTTTAGGCAAGGCCTTGCTGTGTAGACCTGTCTGTCCTGAAATTCACTATGCAGTCCTGCCTGGCCGCCGACTTGTGTATGATCCTCCTGCGTCCGCCTCTTGAATACTGGTACTACAGGCATTAGCCAGCTGAGTTTGCTTTGCAGTCATTACACTGTGTGTAGCTGGGAATGAAATCCCAGGCTTTGTCTATGCTTGATAAGGACTCTACTGCAGAGCTACACCACCAGCCCTATAGCAGTTTATTTCTGACCGAAGAGCTAAGACAATTCAATAAGGAAAGGATTGCTCGATTAGCAGAACCAGGAGGGAATGTGACACAAGTAGTCAAAACGATGCTGACAAATATGTCACACGATTAACAAACTCAGTATCTGCCTGCTTGATTTAGGGAGAGAATAGCAGCGGGGAAAGTGATGTTGACAGTGCTGGCAGTTCTGAGGATTAAAAGCCCTGAGCTTCTTGATGCCTCTGAGCCACCCACATTCCTACGTACCTCTGTGTTCCTCACAAGTAGAACAAAAGTTATTCACTGAAGAGCAAGCTGAACAAATAAGTCCTCCTGCTGACTTCAGTGAGAAGTACCCATCGAAGAAACAAAATGTGACTGAAATGTTGATACTGAGTTTATGGATGACCTCTAATCTGTGGCTTCCCTATAAGTAGTTATTTTGAGGCCTTGTTTTATAATCTGTGGCACTTTCAGAGATTAAGGAACCTTTCACATTCTTTTTTTTTTATTAATTACACTTTATTCACTTACCTTTCACATTCTTAAAGTATTCTCTTCTTGTATAAAACTTTTAAAATTGGTGTTTTTCTTTTTTCTTTTCTTTTTTTAATTTTTATTTTTTTAATATTATAGTTCATTAACTTTGTATCCCTGCTGTATCACACTCCGTCTTTCCCTCCCAATCCCACCCTCCCACCCTCATCTCCTCCCTGCCCCTTTCCAAGTCCACTGATAGAGGAAAACCTCCTCCCCTTCCATCTGATACTGGTTTATCAGGTGTCTTCAGGACTGGCTGCAAAATTCTCCTCTGTGGCCTAGCAGGACTGCTGTTCCCTGGGGTGGGGGAGGTCAAAGATCTTGCCATTGAGTTCAGGTCAGAAACAGTCCCTGTTCCCCTTATTAGGGTACCCACTTGAATACTGAGCTACCAAGGGCTACATCTGAGCAGAGGCTCTAGGTTGCATCCATACGTGGTCCTTGTTTGGAGAAACAGTTTCATAAAAGACCCCTGTGCCCAGATATATTTGGTCCTTGTGGAACTCCTGTCCTGTCCAGGTCATATTAACTCCCCCCACCTTTTTTTTTTTTTTTTATTTCCTGCACTCTGTTGAAGGTTTGGTTATGAGTCATAATATCAGCTCTGATACACTGCTAGGTAGAGTCTTTCAGAAGCCCTCTGTGGTAGGCTTCTGTCCTTTACCTGTTTGCTCCTACATACAATGTCCATCCCATTTGTCTTTCTAAGTGAGGATTGATCATCGTACCCTGGGTCCTCTTTCTTGTTTATCTTCTTTAGTTGTATAGATTTCAGTATGTTTATCCTATCTTATAGGTCTATATGAGTGAGTATATACCATGTGTGTCTTTATGCTTTTGGGATACCTCACTCAGGATGATCGTTTCTAGGTCCCACCATTTGCCTGCAAATTTCATGATTTCCTTGTTTTTAATTGCTGAGTAGTATTCCATTGTGTAAAAGTACCACAATTTCTGTATCCATTCCTCAACTGAGGGACATCTGGGTTGTTTCCAGGTTCTGGCTATTATAAGTAAAGCTGCTACAAACATGGTTGAGCAAATGTCCTTGTTGTGTACTTGAGCCTCTTCTTGATATATGCCTAGGAGTGGTGTAGCTGGATCTTGAGGAAGCACTATTCCTAATTGTCTGAGAAAGCGCCAGATTGATTTCCGAATTGGTTGTACAAGTTTGCATTCCTACCAGCAATAGAGAAGGGTTTCCCTTTCTCTACAACCTCTCTAGTATGTGTTGTCACTTGAGTTTTTGATCTTAGCCATTCTGGTGGGTGTCAGGTGAAATCTCAGGATTGTTTTGATTTGCATCTCTCTGATGGCTAAGGATGTTGAGCATTTCTTTAAGTGTTTCTCTGCCATTCTGTATTCCTCTGCTGAGAATTTTCTGTTTAGCTCTGTACCCCATTTTTTAATCAGATTGATTGATTTGCTGCTTTTTTACTTCTTTAGCTCTTTATATATTCTGGATATCAGCTGTCTGTCAGATATAGGGTTGGTGAAGCTTCTTTCCCAGTCTGTAGGCTGTCATTTTGTTTTGATGACTATGTTCTTTGCTTTACAGAAGCTTTTCACCTTCATGAGGTACCATTTATCAATTGTTGCTCTTAGAGCCTGTGCTGTTGGTGTTTTGTTCAGGAAATTGAATCCTGTGCCAATGAGTTCCAATGTCTTACCCACTCTTTCTTCTAACCAATTTAGTGCATCTGGTTTTATGTTGAGATCCTTGATCCACTTGGACTTTAGTTTTGTGCAGGGTCAATTCTTCATGGATCTTGAGAGAAAAATTATCAGCTTCATATGGAGAAACAAACAAACAAACAAACAAAAAAAAACACCAGAATTTCCAAAACAATCCTGTACAACAACAGATCATCTGGAGGCATCTCCATCCCTGATCTCAAGCTGTACTACAGAGGAATAGTAATAAAAACTGCATGGTATTGGCATAGAAATATAATAGTGGATCAATGGAACTGAATAGAAGACCAAGAAATAAACCCAAACACCTATGGATATTTGATTTTGACAAAGAATCCAAAACCATTCAGTGGAAAAAAGACAGCATCTTCAACAAATGGTGCTGGTCCAACTGGATGTCTACATGCAGAAAAATGAAAATAGATGCATTCTTATCACCCTGCACAAAACTAAAGTCCAAGTGGATATTTTTTCTATACATGGCAGAAAAAAGAATTAAAAGCTAGTAAGTTTTGAGCAAAGACTCAGTATAGTATGTACAGTTAGAAACTAGCAATCTGAGAATGATTTGAGACATTTTATGGCTATGCTATGTTTCCTAGTGACAAAGAAAGCTTTCATGCAGATTTTTCTTCAATACATTCACTTACTCATAGGCCTAAAGTGAAATCTTTGGAGGGTGAAAGACACCGTTGGTTCTTGCTTTGAAAATATGTTCACATGCCTGACCATGCTTATGATTCTTCAGTTCATGTCTAAACTTCAGGTTCATAAACTTTTCCTGGTGCTTGAGGATGCAGATGAGTCTTGGGTCATGGTGTGCTGTACCTCTTGTCTGTCTTGTCTTTCAGAGTATAGTCCTTCTACTGTAGCGTGCCTGCTAAAGCTTGGGTGTGGCTGTATTTAGGAGTCTAAATTGTGAAGGGGAAAAGGGTGGCCGCACTGATATGAAATGTAACCTCAAAGGAGCAGCCTTCTTTTTCCTAAGCTGGCTTCAGAAAGTGAGGTGATACCAAATTATCACTTGTTAATTTGGTACTTTGATTAGAATATTACTTTGTTTCAGTTATAAAGTCATCTTGATAATTCTGACACCAGACAGACAGGAACATAGTGTAAGTTTGGCATTGATCTAGAACTGAAAGCATGTGATGAGCATTCTTTTCCACCTTTAATTGAACTGATTTCTTTTAATGCCATTTTACAAGGAAGATATTAAAATGCAAGACATATTTGTACAGCTTCAATAATTGGTTTTGCTTTTTGTGTTTGACTCTGTAATTTCAAAGAATTTTTCTTTCTAAACTTCTGTGCCCTGAGTTTGGAGTGGTGTTGAAATTATAGGTGTCCATTATGTATTTTTCAACTGTCAGCTCAAATGCCACATATTGTGCTATTAATTCATTATGAAGTGACACCGACACTTATTATGTGATAATACGAAAACACATACTTGTCAAAAAAACAAATAAACCCTTATGGAAAATCCATCTGCTACAGTGGGGGAGTCTAGTGGTCCACCAGACACACACACTTGGGTATCAACACCTTTTGTTTATTTATTTATTTTCACAGAAGAAAATGCACAGAGAAGGTTTTGGTTCTGATTCCGAGGGACTCTGTATCACGTACTCAGAGGTTTTCTTTTTGTTACTTACAGGTGATATTATACCCAACTTCGAACAGCTCCAAGTCAGCAGAATTACACCGAATGATAGTTCCCAAGAACAGTCAGGACTCTGACCTAAAGATCAAATTGGCAGTGCGCATGGATAAACCACCACACATGAAGCATAGTGGGTGAGTTTTTAACATGTTCCTCCCTCAAATCATTGGATTTCATTTCAGTGTATCATGTCTGTCTGTTTCTGGAGGAAACCAGTGTATCTGGCATCCACATGGAGTTTGTTCAGCAAGTTTTTTAGATTGAAAATCTATTAGCATCTCTAAAAATAGAGAGGTATTCAGCCAATGTGACTGTCTTAGCTCCAAACAGTGATGGTTATTGATTGTGTTGATATCGCACAAGAAATGTCCATTCAGACACAGTTTATAGCCATTTGAAAGTCTTCATTCCAGCTGTCTGGGACTTTACTCAGGTACTCAGGACAGCTTTTAAAGATAAGGGTGGAGAGGAAGCACATCCTGGTATCTCACTCTGCAGCTGCAGGGGACGGTTTACACAAGCAAGCAGGTTAACAGAAGCTAAGATAAATTAATTGATGCAGCTTGGCCTTAGGTCCTAGCATAGAGTTGGCAAGGAGATCAAATTCTAGTTAAACCTGAGACATCCTCAGGGAGAATACAATGGAGGAGCCTCTGCACAGCCCTGCCCTGTCACAACATATCAGTTATACAGATGTATAAAAAAAACTTTGTAGGAAATATTCTTCACAATTTAGGTATGGTAAACATTGAGTCTCACCTGGTGTTCTAATCTCTAGAAATAGTTAAACTTTCATAGACTAAGCTAAAGATGCATCAGAAATAACCCAGATGGCTGTGTAAACGTTGGTGGGAGGGATGAGAGCATTCATCTACCATAAGAACTGGAGGAGACTACTGATGGAAAACCAAGAGGTTGAAGAGCTTCTCTCCTAAGCACTGCCGTGGTCTAACATGGCACTCATTGCCACTAAGATTCTTTTTCTTCAGTAACTGGTAAGGACACAGTTCAGAATCCAAGTCTTAACTCTTTCTGCTGTTGTTACTCTGTTTTATTTTCAATGCAGAGTCTCACTCTGAAGTTCCAGCTGTCTTAGAACTCACTCTGTAGACCAGCCTGGCCTTGATCTCACCAAGATCTGCCAGTGTCTTCCCCGTAAGTCCCTCCCACTACGCCCAGCTATGAACTCTTAAATAAAACAAATTTTCAAAAACTTACATTTTTTTTTTCTTAGCTTAACACTTTAAGACTTCCAAGAGCCAAATTCTACCATTCAAATATGAGCTGTTGGGAAAGAGAGTGATGATTTTTATTTCTGTGAAGAGAAGGGATTACTCAAGTGTGTCACTTTAAGTTCAGCGGCAAACTTAGCAGTATAAAACATGCACTCCTTTAAGAGGGTCTGCAGCTTTCAAAACTTACCTCCAACAGAAAGGCAGAGCTACTCAGTGGTTCAAAAGATAGGTAGGACTCATTGGTTCATTCAAGCAAAATAAAGTTGGGTGTTGGGCAGGCATTTATCCGCCTGTGTCTCCTAGAATGGGGACTTGAATTCAGGAGGCTGCAGTGTTGTCTCTTTAAAGTGTTTATGTAAGGGGAGTGTAGCTGTGATTCAACTCAGCGCAGATGAGGATCTTGGAATTCACTGCTCAGAGGCCTCTAACTTGTCCACCTGCTTGATCCTCATCCGTTTGTGCTGCAGGTACACATTAGGACTCCTTCTCTTTCATCTGGGAGACATGATCGCAGGCCTATCTCAAAAGCAAGGCAGGAACTTCGGCTTGTATATAAATAATTGTATTAGCAAGTGGTAACAAAGGTGAAGAGTAAAAAGTGGAAAACTGCTGGAAATAATATCCAACTTAGCTGGGGTTGGTTAATTCAAGTCACATAATACATCTGACATTTGAAGTCGAGGGACACCAGGTAGCCGCAGTCATTTCTGTCATAGGACAAACATTTGAAAAAGGAAGGAGTTTTGAGTTTTGAGAGCTTTTTTTTTTTTTTTTTTTTTGGAGACTAGACACCACTATCTAAAGTGCTTAGAGACTAGCCGAGTTACAAATTAGCCATAAAAGTATACAGCATGTTCCAGGAACTAGTATATTTCTCTGTTTTGTGCTGTGTATCTCTTTCTCTTTATGGGTGCTGCAATAAGAAATGAGTGGCCAGGATCAGATTGAATAGTCCCAGAAGCCCCAGATTGTGCCTGGAACAAAGATTGAAGAGGAAGTAAGACATGAGCTAGTTCAGCATCCCTGATCACCTGTTGGAAGAAATCACTACTCAGACCTACCTGCTCCTAGAGTAGAAAGTTGAAGCAGGTGGATCAGTCTAACCTCCTTACAAGGGAGGTGAGGATGAGGAGTATCTTTTCCTTGCAAAGAAGTTTGTTTTTATTGCATTTATTAAACTAAAACAAGATTTCTGTAATGGTTCTGCAATTGACCTCTGCTCAAAACTGGAAGTGATGGGAGAATAAAGAGGATGATATCATAGTCCATCAGTTTAATTCATAAAGCTCAGGGAGTCACCAAAGGGAACAGGAGTGTTTTCATGCTCCAGTCATATAGATCAGTGCCTCCCACTGGGAGGGGATACTAGCGTCATCTCTGGACATGCAGAGATCTCTGTATTTCATAGCATACAAAACTGTTGAATTCTAGAAGTGAAAATATCAGTGCCATTCATCTACCACACTACAGAATATTCCATAATAGTGAGTCAGTTAAAAATTTAATATTCATGTGTGAAGCAATGGTTTAGCAGCATTAAAGGTTTCAGCCCTATTGTGAGAGTCGTTGATTCCTGTGAGCAAGGCCAGTTGTAGGCACCTCACCAGACGTCTGTTATGGCTCTTTGTTTGGCAACAGATTTAAATATTGCAAATATCTTCTCTCCATCTAGCTATATACATGAAAATCTGCTTTGACCTGCAGCTTAAATATAGTCATTTTCTTCTAAGGTTCTTCCTAAATGGATTTACTCTACTCAATTACGCTTGGAAAATAAACTGAGAACCTAACCTTGTCCTCCTATCCCTCTATCATATACTAAAACAATGTGTGTGCGTGTGTGTGTGTGTGTGTGTGTGTGTGTGTGTGTGTGTGTGTAATAGTGGATTTACAGCATTTCTTTGGGACTGAATTGTGTTCTATCAATAATTTATCCTAAAATGAATAATTAACAGACAAGTAATGAATAATACAACTAAATGATAAGCCTACCTTAAAAGAGAAATTAATTCATCTTTAAAATATGGCACACTTGTTGGTGTTTGTTAAGTGAATTAAACAATAACTGGAGAGTGTTAGACTTTCGCCTTCAGAACACGTCGGGTTTTGAAATTGAAATTTTGAATTTGAAATTCTCTGTTGGGTCAACCACATGAACCCATCCTCTTTTTCCGGTAATATGGGAAACGAAGAATCCTTTTTGTTGAGAGCTCTTAATATGCCTGCTGTTCTGTTTATCACGTCTGGATAACCCATGGATCAAAGTTAATTAGTGTGGGTGTGTGCTTGCTGGTGTGCACTTTCGGGGTCAGAAGTCAAGTTGGAGTCTTTTTCTCTGCTGCTTTCTACCTTGTTTTTCGTTTTTATTGTGGGATGTGTGTGAGAGAGAGAGAGGAAGAAAGAGAGAGAGAGAGAGAGAGAGAGAGAGAGAGAGAGAGAGTGTGTGTGTGTGTGTGTGTGTGTAAGACAGGGGCCCTCACTGGACCCCGACTCTCCGTGTCGGCTCCACTAGCTGGCAGTGAGCTCCGGGATCTGCCTGTGTGCAGTCTCACAGCGCTAAGGTGACATGTGCACTGTCACGCATGATTTGCTCACTCAAGCCCCTCGTGAGGTATTTTCAACAGTGCCGCCTGTATCGAATGTGTATCCCCCAACTGTGCGGTGAGTGTCTTAGTCTTGTTTGAGTCTGCGGTGACTGCCTACCCTGTGTATGCAAATATGAACACTGGCGATATAAATGATGTTTGTGAACTCCAAAGAGTTTTAAGAAAAAAAAAATATGAAGCGGTGTTTGGTTTTCAAATGCTATATTTAAAATTATGTGGGTTTCTCGTGTAGAAAATAAAATGCAACTGATCTAAAGCTCCTGCTTCTGACAGCTCATCACTCTGTAACTATATTTTATTGTCTTGTTAAAGCAGGACTATGTGCAAGGGAAAATACCGGTTTTAATTTGGACAAAATAAGCCTAATTATGACACCATTCTTTCAAACCACACTGGATATTATCATTAGAATTATTGGAAAAATACTGGATTCGTTTATTCTTTTGGACGATTTCATAGAAAAATGCTAACTCTAGAAGCTAAGAAATGGATGGATTATCAGCTATGTTTTCGGTGGTCAGCATTCACGCTGGCCTTTGCGCTTTTGGAGGTCGCTGGAGAAGCTAAGCGTTCCGCAGCAAACGGACGACCCTTTAGCATAGCCTAGTGGCCAAGCAGCAGTATTGACGCAGACTCAGAAATACCGTCCTCCCTTATGTGCAGTGCTGTCTTGGTTCGCAGGTGGTTTTCTTCACCAAACATAATAATAAATAATGAAGAATGAATGACTAAATAAATAGATAAATAAAGTGCAATAGGATGGGACTGACTATTACAACAGCTGAAGCTATGAGCAGTAAGGAGGAAGGCGGCCATGCGATTGCCTGTCACACGTATGTAGAACTATTGTAGCAGTGATCTGTTGGGAGCTTGTATAAAGCCTATCGCTTCTGTAACCAAGGTGAATAGGAACCTCTTGATTATATAACTGAGGAAGAACTTTATCCCAGGTAATTAGCCAGGTAAAAACGTTAGCCATCTATCCTGGAGTTTCTCTTTGTGTAAAATCATAACTGATTTCTTACATATTTTTTGAATGTATTGCATTATTTGGAAATTGTCAAAAATAAAATTGTCTACTTTAATTTGCATCATAAATCTCTGTCTGACGCTGGGCTCATTTCTCTCCATGAAAGGCAATAGCTCAGCTTCTGACAGAAGAACAGGATGAAGGCCTTCCCTGCTCTGACCTCCTGCCTGTTAGGACTCCAGCCTGGCCAGGACCCTGTGCCAGCCTAGAAGAAGAAGCAGGCAGTCTCTTAGGCCAGGTTGCCAAAGCACATAGCTTTCAGC